CTGTAAGATCTGCCCTTGTCTCTCCATCTTTATCCTTTTTCATTCCCCTGCTTCTGCCTGCAATTCCATCTCTTCATTCACAACAGAGAAAGCAATGCAATGGTAGTTCTCTTCCTCCCAAAACCTTCTCTAGAAACATTGACCACCTGAAGGGGCACAGCCCTGGGCAGGCCTCCCATGATGGCCAGGAGTGGTGTAGTACCAGAAACGCATTAGCTGTTGCTCCTCACTGTCCTGCTGCCATCCATCTGTAGGGCTTCCCTAAATGGGCTACAGGTTATTTTGCTAGATTTTCTAGTTTGTGTCTGCTATGAACCAGTTCAGATCTTTAAGAAGAGTAAACTTGAACAAAATATTTCCTCTTTTATTTGTAGGGCAGCCTCATCTCAGAAAGGAAATATTAGAGAAGATGCTTGGAGCAGGCAGTAGGCATGGCTTCTGAGGGACTAGATATTTTCTCTTAGAAATGTGTATTTGTCCCTGGGTATAATTATACCACTTGCCTTTTAAAGTACTCTGAAGTATTCTGTGGAAATGTATTCTTGAGGTATCTCAAGAGGATTTTCGCTCTTTATCGAACACTTTTGTTTTTCTCTTATAAGTACTTATAACTTCTATTTAAGCATGAGCATTTCATTATATGGAAGTGCTAGCACATTATTTCCAAGTCTAAAGTGTCAGAGAAGTTCTGCATTGGCTAACAGATGTGCCAAAAGCCCCTTCAAAATAAGGAGAAATGTAAGTTTAGGTCTGTGGCCTATGTGGTTTCACTTGTTTGCAACACACATAAAATTTTATTCTGCTTCTAGATTTCCTCCCCACTTTGGAAAACTTTTCTTTTTACTGTCTTTCTCATTTGTTCAAAAGATATTTTGGAGACTTGGTTGTTCATGGTTCTGTAATATTGCTGTATTATGGAGAATCATAATTCCTATAACTCAAGTAAGAGCTGAAAAACTGCTTCATAAAATATACAAAGGATTTTCCTGTTTGAATTTGATTTGCTTATTTCAAAATTCTGTACTACTGCTAATTGTGGTGATGATTACTGTAGAGGGTAACTGCAAAAGTTCAAACTAATGAGTGCAAAAGTATTACTTAGATCTAACTTGACATTTTCTGAGGTCAGTTTGTCTTTTCTCACTGACTTTCAGATGAAAATTCCTATCCTCTTTCTCTCCCAAGAGTTTCTAAGTACCTCGCCTGGTCTTCTAAGTGCCAAGTTCCTTTTCAGAGCCTAGTGTCTGGAAATGTTTGGTGCTGGTTTCCTGCAGTTAGAGCAGTGAAGCTCCGTTTTGGGTTGTACCCTAAAGCCTGGAGATAGGATTAGTCTTTCTTTTCTCTCCTTGTGCCCTTCCCTGCATGCCAGTGGTGTGTTGGTTCACTGTTCTCTCTGACCCAAAGATTTTGCTTCCCATTGCTTTTTCTAGGATTCTGGCTCTGGAGATGATTGGTGCCTTCTTCACTATGATGACATGAGCCACCAAATCAATGGGTTTCAAATACATTAGAAGGCTGTTTGGGCAATGGAGTCTGGGGCTTGTTTTTGTACCTCTGAAAACTTCATGAACGGTTGGGATCCTTGCTCCAGACTAGCAGTAGAAGGGTTGTCTATGGTGTGAGAGGCTGACAAATACTGATGTGCTTGCTCACTCTTTTCTACAGGCTCCTATCCAGAGATCCTACCCAGTGAAGCTCCCACAGCAGCACAGGTAGATGGGGCTGACCTGGCCTCTCCAATGTCTCCTCGAACTAGCAAAAGCCGCATGTCCATGAAGCTGCGTCGTTCCTCTGGCTCAGCCAATAAATCCTGAGGAGACAAGCAGCCCAGGAGTGGTCAGCAGTGGACATGGGGGCATGAAGGACGTGTTAACCTTTCAGGCCTTCTTGTCTGCTGTGATGTTCGTGTTCCTTCCTGTACATTTATTTGAGAAAACACTGGACTTAAAATAATTTGTAATTTAATATTTTAAATTTGAGCTATTTATTTAGTTCAGTCTTTTCCTCCACACTCCAAACTGCCATGTTTTGAGAGGGTAGAAGTTTTATTCTATGCTCTTCACTTTGCTAGATAATTATGTCTAAGTAGTTTTACCTTTAAGTCTGTGATTAATGTTGAGCCAAAATATAATTGGACAGAGAGACTTCTGTTATTTATTGTGCCTCATTGCAACTTTATGGGTCAATAAATACATAATTTTTACAAATGTAAACTTTTTTTTCAATGGAACCCAGCATCTCAAGTATGCTAGGCAAGCACTCTATTACCCCCCCAAGCCCTACAAATGTAAGATTAATTTAAGCATTTAAAAAGTTAAAGTTGCAACTCTGTTAAGTACATAGGATGTGTACAGATTATTTATGTTAAGAAAATAAAACACTCAAGTGACCACATAGCATCTCAGATTCCAATGGAAATTATCTTAGCATCAACTTCTTCTTCCCAAGGCAGAGTCTCATTTCTTGGCTGTGAGAATGATAACACATTCAATACTAGAAAAATCACTGCTGAGCTTTGATTCTTGTTTAGCTTCCAAATCTGTAATGTTCTGCTCTTTTTATGTTGCACCACCGTTAAAAGCTATTTCTCTTTTGAGGTTGTAGCTCTTTATTATTAACCAGTGGATCCTGGTGTGTCTATGTTCTTTTTTAAGTACCAAAAAGGTGGTGGTGGAGAGGAGGAGGGAAACCTTTTCTGATATAAATATTTTGCTCAAATTATGTGTATTATTAGAAAAGGGAGCATGACCCAGGAGTCTATAAGTTAAGTCTCGTTTTAGTACTGAACTTGCAGGTGCACGTTGGTCTGCCCTCCGCCTTCAGGCTTCCCTGAAGGCAGTAAGCAGCTTACTTGTTTCAGATGGGCATAGTCTAAGGAGATCTAGCATGACATGGATCCCAACTGCATGTGTAAATACATCATACTGGCAAACCACAGAATATAAATTATGTATCATTCATGTAGTGTCTACAAATTTGTAACAGAATAAAAAAGATGACATGGTATTTAATAAAACAATAAAAATATTCTTCGCACTTCCTGTCCATCATCGTCTTCTATTTCATATATTTTCAGACTTAAAAACAGGGCTGTATAAGTAATCAGGAGATGTAAAGCATAGCCCTAGGTTATCTTAGCTAATCATGAAAAGGGAACTTAAATTCCATTTTCTGCATAGAGCCCATGTGTTTCTCAGAGATTGCACCATTGCCACTGCAAACACAAGTCTCATGCTTTCCTGAGGCCCGTCAGAAGCTTCACCCAGAGCACTTGCTTAAATCTCACAGTGCTTTTAGCATGCTTTCGGGAATAACACTACACTATCCAGCAAATTTTCCTAAGCAACTTCTTAGATAAAAACACAAATTACTATGAATGCTTAAAAACATGCAAGTGAGAGTCTGTGGGCAAGATAGCAGAGCCTGCACAAACATGTGGGCAGCTTCCCACAGGCAGGAGGAAGAAATATTCATAGGAAAACCAAACTTTACATGTTGCTAATGGATTGATAACAGGTAACAAAATGGACTGAAAATGCCAAGTTGAAATAGTGAAATTAATTAGCACTATTTGTATAATTTCTGCAATCTCCAGATAACACTGTTCAGTAGCTTTCTTTGATAAAATACTTAAGATATGTCTTCTGTGGCTTTGTTGGGGAGTGTTTTTCAGAGTTTCAGTACATACTCTCCTGTGGAGCCTCAGTCTGTAGCTAGACTTCAAAGGAGAATTTCCTATCTCATTTCAGCACCATTACATTCATTTGCAAAATATAATATTGCCTGCCTGTGTGCTGTGTCAAAATGGGTCACTAAGATTCTAAAGTAAAATACTGGCACTGGGGAGAGAAGAAATAATGACTTTGAAGATACACTGTTCAACCAGTTCTTAGGACAAACAGAAAAAAACAAAGCACAGTCTATGTACATTTATTTGGCAGTAAGCATCTTACAAATCTATTTGTCAAGCAATGCTTAACCAGAATCGAAACTCTGGCTATTAGGGGATAGACAGAGAATGTACACTGAATATGGTTTACAAGAAGAAATTCAAAAGTCGCTCCTCAGAAGGAAACAGTACTGAGTGACTGAGTTGTCATTCAGCTCCATTGTGTCATAGGTATTAAGTCGAACAGTTTACTGTGTAATATGCAGCAGGAGATTTACAGTATAATCATTAAACAATTTGAGGGTAACCTTACTAAAACAGTCAAACTTCAGGAAGAGTATTGTATTTCAAAAAAAAAAAAAAAGTAAAGAAATTTAAGTAGCTCCTCCCAAATGTTGCATACAAAATAGCTGAAGAATTCAGGCTGTATTGGCTCTTTCCCGGTAAGTAGCACCTTACCCACTTCCAAAAACTAATTTAAGAACAGACTTCTACATACAATTGAGAAAAGAAAAGTTTCAAGGAGAGACTTACACCAAACAGCAACATCCTCTTAAATTTCCTGCCTATGGACACAGGTCTTGAATCTTTCCCCCCCCCCGCCCCCCCCCCGTAAGTTTGGCGTCACGTAACTTGATTCACAGAACATACAAGGCAAGAAATCTGACCCTATTGAGACAGAAAGGACATAAGCGCCTGTGATGGCAAGAGAAAAAAACATTGGTGACTACCACTTTGGGTAGAAGCTTTTATAGACATTGAGACATGCACGCGTTCACTGCGACTTTCCATAGGAACTACAAACCACATAGGATTCATTAGGGTCTCCAGTGTTTGAAGGATGGGAAAATCCTATTTTAGTCGGGAAAGTGAGAGCTTAAGGCTGGCAGCCTTTGACCGAGAATGTCAATATTTATACCAAATACATACCTGCGCTAGAGGGGGTTTTACTACTCGCTGTCTGCTCCCCTGGCGCAATGTGAGTGGGGGAGTTTGAGGTGGGAAAGTATGGGAAGGGAGGAAAGTAAACTTGCAAGCTGAAAAAAGCCCCACCGCAGTTCCCATAATGTTTTCTCCAAGGCCAGCCTCGAACTCTTCCTGGTCTCAGCCCTCAGCAGCCAGGCCGAAGTGGCATCTGGAGCAACAGTACTTGCCGACTTTCTGAAGGGTGGCATTTGTTGATGTGCCGGGTCAGTCCGGGGGAGCTAAAAAAAGTGGACGGACAGTGCTTGCACGAGAAGATTTGCTGAGCACTGCCATCCGATGCCCCTGCAGGGACCAGCGGTTCCGAAGGAGCCCCAGTCAGGGCGGGCAGTAGTAGCTCCTCGCGGACAGCGTGCCATAGCCGATGCTTCTCTCTGATGTCCGCGGACGGAAAATGCGCCCCACAAAGCGGGCAAACGAAGGCGAGAGGGGCCCCGCGCTCGGAGTCGAAGCTGGGCGCCAGCGCTCGAGCAGAAGCCGCCTCGTGAGTGCTCAGGTGCTTGCGCAAATAGGCTTGGCGACGGAACTTTTTGTGGCAATACGGGCACACGAAGATCTCGGATGCCCCACCAACAGCGGCACTGCCCGGCCCAGGCACCCGGCGCCCCAGCACCACCCCGGGGAAGGGGACCTGCGGAGGCGGAGGCTCCGGGTGTGCCCGCGCGGGCAGGCCGAGGCGCAGGGCGCTGTCCTGGTGCTGATTCTCCGCGGAGCTGTCCCTGGCCTGACGGTGCTGATCGTCGGTCCGCTCCGCACGGCCGTTCTCCTTGCCCTCTGCCAGGAAGGAGGCCATGGGCCCGGGGTCTGCAGACGGCGGGCGAGGAGGCTTCCCGTCGGCGCAGGAGGCGCTGGCGGCCGCGGGTCGCGGCTTGTGCCAGCGGCGATGGGAGGCGAGGTTCGCGGGGCAGCTGAAGACCTTGTCGCACTCGGGGCAGCGGTATTCGACCCGCACGATGCGGGAGCAGCGGTGCTGCGCCAGGGCGAAAGGGTCCGCGTACTGCTCCTTGCACAGCTGGCAGATGAACTCCCCGAGCGGTGTGCGGCCTCCGCCCAGGACCCGCGACGGCGCCCCGGGCTCCTCCTCCTTGATCTTCAGCCCGAGGACCGGCGACGTGGTCACCTCGTCCGCAAAGCTCAACTTCCTCACGGCCTTGGGCTTCTTGATGCCCGCGGTCCCGAGGCCGAGCGGGCAGCCCGGGGGTGCCTTGGCGCGGCGCTTCAGGCCGTGCAGGGCGGAGAGGGGCGCGGGCTCCCG